CTTGAACTTCCTCCTTCATCACCATAGGCTCTTGCTCATATGTTATTTCATGAAATTCCTCTATGTCAGCCAATTCCTTCTGATACAGTGACTCTGTGTACTCCTTCCATCTTCTTTTGGTACTTCCTGGATCATTCATCATTCTACCCAAACTATCATTAAGTACGCCACCTGTGGCTTGAATTTGTTTTTCAACTCCTTTAGCTAAAGAAACGCTGAGTGAGTCCAGCCCTTTTGATTTGCTGACTCTAGCTCTCTGCACATTTCATTATAGTATCTTGCTTTGTTGCCCTGAGCTGCCTTTTGAAATTTTCTGTTCAGTTCTTTGAATTCTTGATTTCTTCCTTTAGCTTTGGCTTCTCGGCGCTCTAATGCAATACTCAGAGTCTCATCTGACATCCATCTAGGTCTTGTCTTCTGAGTATTTCTTAATTCTTAGTTCTCAATGAAATAAGCATATTTTTTTTGTTCTCATTATTCTCTTATGCCATTCCATTTGTCTTTTTGTTTCAATCCTTTTAAGTGCCTTCAATTCCATGGAAATCTAACCCTAAATTACTTTGTTTTACTTTACTCTCTTTTCCCCTCCTTCGTTATAAATTAGAGTACCACAGAGTGAAAAACAGCTAAATGTCTCAATATCTTCTGTATATATTTTGTGGTTTTTTAAAATTTTTTAAAAATTTTATTGTATTATTTTTATGTGTACTGTCAAATCAGATCTGACTGGTACAGGAGGAGATTGCCCCCTCCTTTTCCAGCACAGCACCTGGTGGCTTTGAATCGTGTACCTCTGGGATTGCAGTGCAGTGTCTTGCCACTAGGCCACCAGAGCTCCCTATATTCTCTGTATATATTTTGTATATTCTCAAAATACTCTTTAGACATCATCCTCGTGTCTGGCTTTATTGTATAATTCTCACAAAATGAACATTATAATGTATTACTGTATCTCAGAGGTATCCAGACAATAATTGGGTACTGCTAACAAGTTTCTCTATCTTACTAAATCAAATCCCTTCTTTCAGGTTTTTTCAAAGGTTACTTTTTAGTAAGTCGTCGCAAACAGGCTGAGTCAGACTGAAGATTTCTACTTAGCAAAATCAACTGACAGACTAATTTGGATTCTCATTTGCAATTTATATCTCTATCACATGAAAGGAACTAAGTAGAACATGTAAGGAATCACACGTAGTTGTAAGTACATCATATCCATCATTTCTTTGAAAGCATTAAGTTAAAGTAGTTTCTAATTTTAAAGGATTAAGAAACATTTTCAATTCAGACATTCTGAATAAATTAAATAGTCTCTAAGAGAATAATTTAACTGAATGTCAATTTCAAGCCCAGTGAGATAAGTAAACTTCATACACTTTTAGTGACAAATGATTTTTCTTTTTCTTAATCTGTATTTACACTAAGAGGAGAGAGTTCCCCAGATATTCGAAAGTCTTATAGGGAGAAACAAAAAACACCACTGTCCAGTTGGCTCCAATTGACATTAGGTTTCTGAGACTGGACATTTTTATGGATGGAAAGTGTCTCATCTTTCTCTAGTTGAGCAGCTGGTCGACCCAGACCCAGACCCAGACCACTAATTCAACCCAACACTTACCAGTATGCCACCGAGATATTCCAAAACTAAATCCAATGGTATTGAGTCTGTTCTGAGACTCTAAATCTTTACCAGAGGAAACTGTCCATTTTTCTTCCATCTGAACTGCTGACCAGGCTGCCAGGAAGTCTTGTAGTTTTTACATGCTGTGCTTATATACAACAGAATGAAGCACTGTCTGATACTGAGCCATTTTCTCAGCCTTGCTGTGCATTACTGCAGTTACCATGTCAATGTATTTTGTTGAATATCTTCCTTTTGTTGATCCCCTACTTTTCAAAATATGATTTTCCCCCGCCCCCCAAGGATTGGCCCTTCTTGAAAATATTTCCAAAGTATGTGAGACAAAGTCTCACCACCTTTGTGCCTAAGGAGCACTTTGGCTGCACTTCTTACAAGACAGCTGGTTTCCTTTTTCGGCAGGCCAAGCACTCAATATTCTTTGGTAACGTACAACTCAAGGCATCAATTCTTCGTCAGTCTTCCTTATTCAATGTCCAACTTTCAGATGCATATGAGCAATTGAAAATATCATGGGCCAAACTTAATCTTTATACTAACATCTTTGGTCTTTAGTACTTTAAGGAAATCCTTGGCAACAGATATTCTCAATGTAATACACGGTTTGATAAAAAAAATCTGTGACAAATTAAATCTTCTCTATTTAACATGCGAGTACTAATTGGTCCACTTGTGATGGTTTTTGTTTTCTTTATACTAAGGTATGCTGTGCACTGAATGTCAAAAACCTTTTTTTTTCTTCAGTTAGTGATATTTCAAGTCATCTTCACTTTCACCTGTATATCTGAAGATACTAAATCTTCTGCCAATCTTGCCAGATTCTTCTTCATGCAATCCAGATTGTCAGATTATTTGTTCAGCACAGACTGAATAGGTTAAGGGAAAGGGGACAATCCTGATACACAACTTTCTTATTTTAAACCATACAGTATCTCTTTATTTTGTCTAAACCATTGCTTCTTGGTCCAAGTGTAGGATCTGCATGAAGTGGTCTGGAATTACCATTTTCACAATATTGTCCATAGTTTATTCTGATTTACATGGTCAAATGCCTTTACAAGGTCAATGAAACACATGTAATCATCTTTCTGGTAGTTTCTGTTTCCATCAAGATTCATGGACATCCACAATAATATCCTTGTTCCTTTAC